ATCTGATAGGTTGGCTCTCTCCTCGTCACTTAGTTCTATTTCAGGAGTTTTGATCTATTCTTTCATTTGGGCCATATTTCTTTATCTCAGCACATGTGTTATGTTGTAAGGGGCAGAGCCTTAGGTATTTGTCAGGGTGGGGCAACCCACTTAGCTCCATTGTGGTGCTATATGTGAGGGAGCGGTCAGAGAGGGAACAATGCCACTTGCTGGCTCTCACCTGCTTTCAGTCACTTCCCCCACTACCCACAAGCGAATTATACCCTTCAAGGTGCTGCCCTGGTGCTGATTTCCAGGTGGTTGGGCTTGTGTACATTCTAGGACCCATAGGCCTCTCCAGCAAACTCCCCTATGAAACTCACAGTTTCTCTTGCTGCCACAATCCCCACAGGTTTTTACAGCCAGAGGTTTTGAGGCTTTATTTTGCCCAAGCTGGAACCCTGGGTTGCAGAGTCTGTCCCACTCCCCTGCTGTTTCTCCTGGTTTCCACATACAAATGTGGGACCACCTGGTCCGCCAGCCGCCCACCCAGTCTGCCAGCTGCCACCTTGCTGTGCATGCTCTCTGCCCTGGCTGCCCATCTCCACCCCTCCTACCAGCCCGGACGAATCTTCTTTAACTCCTTGGTTGTTGGACTTCCATACAGTTCAATTTTCTGGCAGTTCTGGTTGGTTTTTGTTTTTAAGTTGGTTGTTATCCTTCTTTTGGTTGTGCAAGGAAGTGAAGCGTATCTACCTAGGCCTCCGCCTTGGAAGCCTCCCCAAATAGGCATTTGGTGCTTTCTATTTACTTCTCTTTTTCTGTACTCTTTTTTTTTTCCTCTCCTTGCCTGGATTTAACAGACTTCCATTTTTAATGTTCCTGCTCAACTGATTTGAAAGTTATATACTCTATATGTTATTCTTATTATTCTAAACTCAAATTCTAGACTTACTAACTGCTAAATGTCCCCCAGTTACGCTCCCCATCTGTTCTCCCCTTCTCTCTCATGTAAATAGAATTTCCAACTTAGCAGAGGCACATGATTATTCCAGAATAAAAACTCTACTTTCCAATCTCCCCTGCAACTGAGTAACCAAGTTTTTGCCAATGGGATATGAATACAAGAAATGAATACAACCTCCAGGTCATGCACTTCAAAGAAGAGTTGGGTGGACATTAGGATGAACCATCTTCAAACAAGCAGCAGGTATCACTTTGGTGTTAGGCTGCTTATGTCTGAGATACTACATGAGAAGAAAATAAGCATCTGTCTGCTATAAATCATTGTTATTTTGGGTTCTTTTTCTTTTTAAACTTTTTTCTTTTTTAAAAAAAATTAATTCTACAGAGAGGGGAAGAGAAAGAAACATTGATATGAGAGAGAAACATCAACTGATTGCCTCTTGCATGCACCCAGACAAGGAACCAAACCTGAAACCCATGCATGTCCTGACCAGGAATCGAAGCCGCAACCTTTTAATTTGCAGGACGACACCCAACCCATTGAGCCACACCAGCCAGAGCTCAGTTCTTTCTTACAGCAGCCAAACTACAATCTAGCTAGTACAGTGAGCGTGGGTTTAAAAAAATGTATCCTGTTTACATTCACTCTGCTTCCTGAATCTGGGGCTTCATGTCTTTCATCAAGTTCAGACAATTTTTCTTTATTTCCATTATTTCTTTGTTAATGGCTCTTCTTCACTCTCCTCTCCACTTCTGGAATCTTATATAGGATCTTGTAATCCTAGCATGCATGTCTCAGCCTCTGTGTCTTTCTCTGTGCCACATTCTGCACTGTCTCCTCAGGTCCACATTTCTATTAAGTCTGTCATCAATGGTGCCTAATCTGGTGTTTAATTATCCACTGAACATTTTGTTTCAATGAAAACAGTTTTCACTTCAAGCACTTCTATTGGTTCCCTTTTAAAGTCTATCTGATCTTTTTGAAGAGTGCCTTGATCTTGTCTCATGTTTTCAATTACTTCATTATGTCTTCAATAGTTTAAGATTTTATTGATCTATTTTTAGAGAAAGGAGAACATAGGGGAAAAGAGAGGGAGAAAAACATTGATGTGCAAGAGATAACACAGATCGGTTGCCTCTTGCATGCTCCCAACTGGGGACCTGGCCTGCAATCCAAGCATGTGTCTGAGTACGAACTGAACCTACAAACTTTCAGTTTGCAGGCCAGTACTCAATCCACTGAGCCATGCCTGCCAGGGCTGTCTTCAATAGTTTTAAGCTCATTTATTTTACAGTATCTTGCCAACAGTTCTATTATGACTAGACCCCCAGTTGTTTGTTGTATATTTGGACTCTCACTCACTGTAGATTATTTTCTCAGTATTTAGTCATTTTGGATTATATATTCATCTTCATTAAGGCTTTATTTTTTTTTTCTTGGGAGGATTCTGATCTGGGTTGAGGTCTTTTTTCTCCAGAGAAGTTCTGTGCCTGTTCCAACAAGGTTTCCCAGGGGTATTTCTGGCCCAGCACTACGGTTCCTAATTCACATAGACAGTAGAAACTCTAAAGTTAAATCCATATCACCATGAGGTTTTCAGGGAACATTTTTTTTTTTCTTTTCTTTTTCCTGCCCAGAGCCTTGGCTAAGTATGAGAAGCTGTTCCATTATCTCCCTTGTGCTCGCAGATGACTTTCCTTTCTTTGTCTGCCTTCCTTTAAGGCAAGGCCCTTTTATAGTCCTGACATTGCATGGCAGTTTCAGGGTTGGGCCCAGCCTCCAAATGCCCAGACCTCACTTCTCTCTCTGCAGATGTTAAAACGCAAACCTCACACCTTTCATTATGAAAGGGAGCTAGCCACACACCCCATCCCAGGCAGCTGCCCGAGCTGAGGACCACTTGGGTTCTTCCTCTTTATTTTGCCCACTGAGGATCCCTTTTTTTTCAGTGTGCAGCTCTAAACTGAGAAGGACATTTTAGATATTTAACCCAGTATATCTAGGTGTTTCACAGTGGTCATTTTTTTTAGGTTGTTTCATTGTCCATCTGACTAGAAACGAAAATCTCTTCCCTCTGGGATGCGTTTCAACCAGCTGGCTGATCCCTACTTATCCTTGCCTTCCCTCATACACCTTCCCCAACACCATAACCTAAAGCGAGGTTCTCAAGTTTTATAGTGCACAGAATCCATTTCTGGGGGCTTGTTAAATATGTAGACTATGAGCAGCAGCCCAGGAGACTTGAATCAGGAGGGTCAGGGGGCCCGAGAATGCACATGCTTCACAGGCACCCTGGGTCTGCAGCGCGGGTGGTCCCAGGGCCCCTCTTTGAGAACCACGGCTTCCCTTTCCCTGTGGTGGTAGAATCCTGCCCTTTCTATCTGCAGTGCCTGAACCACATCCACAGGAACCCTGCCAATCTGTTCTGCAAAGCCTGACTGAGATGGCGATGCCAACAGACCCAAGGTTCACAAGTTCTCGTCCAGGCTAGTCCAGGGCCCCTGCCCTCAGCAGTGCAAATGCAAAGGTGATGCCAATAACCTGTCAGCCTGGTTGTGGGCCTATCACTAAAAAAGGTCGTTTATTCAGGCTTTACTAATCAAGACTTCGACATTACTTGTAGGAAGGTGGCCTGAATTTTACTTTTGTACTATAAAAGAAGGGTTTGCTAAGCAGATGGATATCATAAACAAAAGTATACAAAGAATGGTTGCTTTAATTAAGATTTTATACACACACACAACATACACATATATATTTTTAAGTGCAGGTCTCTACTCTCTAGATGGGTTATGCTCTAAAATACCACTGAAAGCCATTTAGAAGCTATCTTCCCACAGAAACATTATGAACGGTGGTCACTTTCCCAGACCAGCCCACCGAAGCCTGTGAAGATAATAACTGTTCCCATTTAAGACCTATTCTAGCCAGAACCCTTGTATATGTGATCTGATACAATTCTCAAATAACTCCAAAAGGTAGACATTTGTGTCCATGTCTTAGAGGTGAACAGGCTTGCTCAGGGTCACAAAGCTAATAAGGGGCAGAGCCACGTAGGTCTGGCTCCATAGCCTGTGTCCTTGTCACCAGGAAACCAGGCTGCTTTCCGTGGCTCCTATGCTTGATAGAGGGTGAACAGCAGGGTGGAGGTTTCCAAGTCTTCTCTCCTAAAACATCCTCTTCCCCAACGCTGAAGAGATCTTAATGGAACATGAGAACCTCCACTGCAGCCACATGTGATGCAGGAGGCGATGGAGGACCAAGACGACTCGGGTCATTTCTTTGGTGTGCCGTACAGAGAGGCAGAGCAGGGAGGAACGTTCGCCAGATGACAGCGGCCTGATAAACTGCTCTGATTTTGGCCTTCAGGGGGTGGGGGAACCCTCCTTGGGTGGGTTTAATTTTGCGTGTGAAAAACATCTTATTAAAATTTCACCTTCCTGTAATGATTAGTAAGTAAGCCCTAAGGATCAAACGCGCAGTATAGTGAACATGGACAACAGTGTTGTATTATAATCATTGAACTTGGTAAGAAACTGGAACTTAATCATTCCAACCACTGAAAAGAAATGACAGCCCTGGCTGGTGTGGATTGAGCGCTGGCCTGCGAACCAAAAAGTCACCACTTTGTTTCCCGAAGCAAATGCCTGGTTGCAGGCCAGGTCCCCAGTTGGGGGCAGGTGAGAGGCAACTGATCAATGTATCGCACATCGACGATGTTTCTCTCCCTCTGTCTCCCTCCCTTCCCCTCTCTCTACAAAATAAATAAAACCTTTAAAAAAAAAGGAATGATAATTAATAATGCAATAGAACTGCTCATTATCACTATGATGGCAACCATATTACAATGTATAAATGTACCAAATTAACATGTTGAACACCTTAACTTACCCGATGTTATATGTCAAATATATTTCAATTAAAAATACATAAATAAAATAAAACAACAACAAAAGGAAGTTCACCTTCCCCAACTCTCCCTAACTCTGGCCTTCCCTGTAGAACAGAGACTTCTCCAGTGAGGTTAGGCAGATACCTGCTCTCCAGAACTCACCTTGTCAGCAAGCAGCTCCCTTATCTTGCTGGCCTGTAGGCGGAACCGGAAAAGCTGGGTTTCTAGGGCCAGGCAGCGTTTCTGCCAGTCCATGCTGGTCCACGTCTCCACCTTGAGTTCAGCCATGATGGAATCAACTTCTGGATATTCCAGGGAGCCCTGCGAACCAGCCCACAGAGAGTCGGAGAGACAAGTAAGTGTGGGAGGAAGAGTTATACTGGGAAAGGAGGAGAGGAGACCAAAGGAGGCCAGAGAAAACAGGGCAGGGGCAGGTGGGTTAGTCACTGCTCTCCCTCTGTCCTGTGCCCCCCTTTCTTAGCTCAGTGTGTCACGTTCTATCATAAGTTAGCTGAGCAACCTCAGGGGATCACAAAACCTGAGAACCCATAACAAGAATCTAACCTCATTTATTTTTTTATTCTCACCCAAGGACATGCTTATTCATTTTAGAGCGAGGAGAAGGAAGGGAGAGGGGGGAGAGGAACGATGTTAGACATCAATCGGTTGCCTGTCATATGCACCCAGATGGGGACCACACACACAACCCAGGCATGTGCCCTGATCAGGAATCAAACCAGTGACCTTTCAGTTTACAGAACGATGCTTGAGCCATACCGCCCAGGGCAGGGCTCATTTGTTTTTCATTCGATAATTACACTTAACAAATTTTTATCCAATCAATGAACATTTATGTGCCAGACAACTGTTCTAAGCACTGGAAATGCAAAGAAAAGTAACAGAGTTTTTTCTGTGTTCTACAGGGAGGGCCAGAGTTAGGGAGAGTTGGGGACGGTGAACTTTCTTTTGTTGTTGTTTTATTTTATTTACATATTTTTAATTAAAATATATTTGACACATAACATTGGGTAATTTAAGGTGTTCGACATGGCTTTGAGTTTTTCAAGGAAGCCTAACAGCAAACTACAGTGGATGGAGTCATAACAGCTAATCAATATACAGATAAATAGGAGCAGGTAAACAGGGCAGCCTCTGGAGAAAGCCACAAACCTTTGGAAAACACTTCATAGAAACTCAGACCAAATCAAGTAGACACCTATAATTTCTCCTTCAGCCAGGGGAATTTACCCAGATGTCTCCTGGGCATATTTTAGAGAAAAGGAGAAAATGAAGAATGTATGCGTGTGCATGGGAGAGGAGACACAGGCACAGATATCACAGAGGAGGGAAAGGCTGGAAGGCACAGGCGTCATCTGGACTTTAGACCCCAGCCCCCGCCCAGGCTGCGACTAGTACTTAGGTTTGGTAACAAGCAAAAATTAGGTTTGTCCCAAACCATGACATATGATCACCCTAGTACTAGGTCATTTGAAAGAATGATTGCTCTTTTTTTTAGGTTGATATTTGTAAAATGTCATATGTTGGAGATACATATGATTTACAGGTAAAATGATATAATGTCTGTGTTTTGCTTTAAAACACTTCCTGGTAGGGGGGTGAGGAGTAGTGGGGAGGGCGATACGTGAAATAAGATTTATCCAAATGTTAAGTTTTGAAGCTGGGTGAGGGGTACGTGGGGGTTCTTTATACTGGTCTCTCTACTTGAATATATGCCAGGAATTTTCCATATGCATATTTGCTATTTTTTAAATCCCTTTTCCCTTCCTACAGGAGCCATACGGCCTCAGAAAACCCAGTCACGTCCCGTCCTGTTGCCAAGTATTCCCCAGGTGCACCAGCGAGCCTGTCTTTGATGGGTTAACCACCAATGCTGCTTCCTACCTCACATTTGGCTTTTATAAGTATCTTTCTCCCATTACATACCACAAATAGCGATCATTTATTGAGTTCTTGCTGGATGACAGGCACCTGTGGTCTCTTTAATCCTTAGAACCCATGAGTTAAGGGGTGGGCACTAGTCCACTGTCTCACACGGGGACACTGAGGAACTGAGACACTGGCTGACCGACACAGAGAGTTCCACAGCAGGACTCTCATTCCAAAGTCTCTGTTCCTAGCCCCTGGGCTCGTTACCCATCCAGAAATGAGAAAGGATTCTGATTTCACCAAGAGTGGGGTGGATTGTTAAAAGTGAAAGAAATATTTTACAAGATCTTTCAGGATTGTAGGCACTAAGATGAGGCTATATTCCAGATTTTTCAGGGCACTCTGGTCTCAACTCTCCTGACACCATGAACTCCATTAACACAGACATTTATCATGTGCCCTGACTTTTCATTTAAAAAACAGGGTCAACAGACCTGTAGGGAAAGGCCCGAAAATTAAACCACTGATGGGTCTGGTGTCCTAAGTCTTTCGGTTCTGGGTTGCTCAGAATGCTGGACGTATGATCTCAGCCCCGCCTCCCGGAACTGTCATCGCAAACAATCCCAGCATTGTGACCTCCCAGCAATTCCCACCTCAAAGGACTGGGACCAACAGGAACGGGCAGGAAGACAAAAGACAAAAACAAAACATGACCTCTGCTGAGCTAAGATCACAGCTGAAAAGACAGAACAGAACCTTGTGGGCCCCCCAGAGAAGGCTCCGAGGCCTTGCATTTGATTTGCTTTGTCCCTTACGGGGCTTTTGCTTTTCCTTAAATTTTTAAAAAGTGACAGAGTTGACAGCAGGATCTGAAAGTCTTGCACCCACCCCAGGGCTAAGAGTTAGCACTGAAAGCATCCAGACAAAAAACAAGGGGCAGGGGAAACAATTGTTCTGTGGTGTTGACTTCGGTGGATTTTGATGGTCTCTTATTGATTGTCAAAGCTGTGGCTCAGATTCCATGGGGAGAGTGGAAACTCAAATTATCAAACTCTCCAGGGCCTTTGGAAATAAAATATTTATTGGCCTCTGCCTGGCCCTGACATCTAAGATTATACCCAGACCGAAGGGAGTGCTTTCCCCGATCAAGCATCTTCATGCATCACGGTTTTGAACCAGTCAGGTGCCTGCTAATCCTCTCCCTGCCTTTGGGATGCTGGCCAGAGGGCTGGCATCACGCTAGGCTTGTCTCCACATGCGGAGGGCTAAGAGATTTCGCAACAGATCTGAAGCAAGGTGCCTGCTGCCAAGCACAAGACCCACTCAGAGGTTCTTTCAACAGAAGCAGGTGGTCAGAGAAGCAGCTATAAAACCCGAGATATAAAGGGGAGATACCAGTAAGTTGAATCTTACCTGCTAAGTCACCTTGCACTTTATCTCCCATAAAGATGCACAAGGATGAGCAGAAATAAATTTACAGAATGGTTCTTAACGTTTCAAAGCATCGCCACATGTGTTATCTCTTTCCTTATCCTCTCATTATTCCCACGATGCAGGACAATGAGCAGATGAGAAACTCATCACATCTGTGACCTGCTTAGAGACACAGAGCTAACTAGCATCAGTGTTGGGCCAAGGATCCTCTTTCCATGAAGATGGTTCAGCAGGGCTGGGAGAGTCCCATGCTACCAGGCTGCTTTAACACAGATACAACATTAATGGGAAAATGAGAGAGGGGACATGAGATGGGGACAAAAACAAGCTCAAAAAAAATTTTTTTTTCATTTTTTTCACATAACTAGGAAGAACAGCACAATAAACCTCCATGCGCCTACCCTCCACCCAACTACAGTCACCATCAACTCATGGCCACTCCCGTGAAACCCAGGCCTCTGATCCCCATCGGGGCCCAGCCTGCCGGACTGCTTAGCAGGCGAGAGTCAAATGGCTGCCGTGGGCTTGACCCCTGCTCCGGAATGCGCTGAGTCCCCTCGCACCCTGGAGTGGTGCGTCACAGAGGTCAGCAGAGGCAGGCCTTGGAGGGAGGGGCTTCGGGGAGAGTAGGTAGCCAAAGTGGGCACACAGAGTGGGTAGGTGGCTTCAGACTCTGGGCCTGCGTCAGAGAAAACACAAACTTGCCCTGGGATGCCTCTGGCAAGTTTAGGAATTTGACCAGAAATTGACAAAATGCTGAGATTAAATTTCACTCAACCAACTTTTGTTAAGTGATTCCTATGTGCGATGTTGGGCCCGTAAGGATGAATAAAGGTTGGTGGCTTGCAAGGCTCAGATCTATGGTCTGAATATCCTGGAACTTCTCTGCAAAGGGGGCCAATCAATATAAGAGCCTAAAAGAAAGAGTTCAGAGGTCACTGCAGGGTGCATCAGAGGGCAACGGAGACTCAGTTCTGGGCACAATTTCCACTGGACTCTCTCGTGTCACCTCACTATGGTTCACTCCCTGAGTGTGAGCACCTTTTGTGATGTCCACTTGCTGTGATGGGCTACCACCATCTTCTAAAAGTGCTCTGCTAAACTAGACTGACCAACTGTGGGGAAGGCAGAGCTCTGTGCCCCCCCTCCGCGGGGGGAGGGGCAGTGGACACAGGGGCACAGCTCCTTCTGACTGGCATCATCATTTGATCAAGCCAACAATGTGCACTTGACGAGCATCACATTTTACAGTGTTGGGGGAGATGGAAAAGGTGAGTAAGTGTCACCCTGAAGTGTCAGCCTTCAGGGGTATAAATACCAAAAGAAGGGGCTAGGACAACCAGGAGTAGCATCCCTAGAGAACAAAACCAGTGAAGAGAAACAGCAGAGTATAGCAATTAAGAGTCTGCATTCAGGCGCCAGGCAGGCCGGGGTTTGAATACTGGCCCAGGCACTAATTAATCCTGTGATCTTAAATTATTTGCTCAACTTCTCTGAGCCTCCGTTCTATTTTGAAATTGAGGGTAATAATATTTCCAAAGGAGGGCAATAATATTAATTTGAACCATACACTATGCGGATTTTTTTTTTTTTTTGAGAACTAAAGGGAATATTACAAAAGCCTGGCAGACAGTAAGCTTTCAATACATGACCGCTACTATCAATGAACAAAGGCAAACCAACAGTGCCCCAGGGAGATGAGGAGATGTGGCCCATGGATGTGCTTACCACCTGATCCACCTGGGAGAGAAGGTCAGGGGATTTTTTAAAATGACTTCACCTCTTTATTTTTGAAATTTGAACCAAAAAGTAAACAATGCAGAGTAAGGATTCTTCTTACCCCTCTACCTCACCCATAGTTCTCCGCAGAGGAAGCCATCATTAGGGGGTTTTGTGTCTTTCAGAGGTGTTCAGTGCACAGACAAGGATTCATATATGTGTTGTGCGTGCGCACACACAAATGGTGGCCCACGAAACACACAGTACCACTGTACTTAATATAACTTAGAGACCATCCTGTATCAATATACATACCTACCCTATTTTCCCTCCATGCTTTTTGACTTCTTTGTGTATTCGATCATGGGCTACATAGCAATGTTTCAGTCAATGATTAAATGCATAAATGTAAATTTCAGCTCCCAAAAGATAATGGAGCTGAAAAATTCTTATCTCCTAGGGACGTCAGAGCCGACGTAATGTCGCAGCACAACGCATGACTCACATGCTTGTGGTGATGCCAGTCGTAGAAAAGTACAGCATGTATTACGTACAGTACATAATACTTGGTGATAACAACTATGTTACCGGTTTTTGTATTTACTATAGAATACTTTTTATTGTTATTTTATCAGAGGTGTTTGCAATATCTCCTCCCTGTCAGTTTTTTTATTGTTATTTTAAACTGTACTCTTTCTACTTTCTAAAAAAATGTCTCTTGATTGTATCATTTTGTTTTGTGCTTGATTTAATCTCATGGTTTGTTTTTTTTTTATAGTAACATGCTGTACAGGCTTGTAATCTAGAAGCAATAGGCTACACCACCTAGGATTGTGTAAGTGCACTTTGTGATGTTCACACACGATGACATCACCAAATGACACATTTATCAAAACGTAACCCTGTCGTTAAGTGGTGCATGACTATATTCTAGGGTCCCTTACTGACAGACATTTGGGTTGCTTGAAACCTTTTGCTAAAATAAACACTGCTGCAATGAATATTCAATGACTATATATCATTTCATACACAACAGAATACATCTGAAGAATAAAGTCCTAGAAATGGAATTGCAGGGTTAAGTGATACACATTTTTAAATGCCCAAAGAGTCTAAATTGCCCTCTCTTGTGGCTACTCTAATTCACAACCCAGCCAGCAAAAGGGGCCTGTTGCCGCGGAAGGCAGTTTTGCACTAGTTTTTTACAGAAAGGAGAGGCCGCTCTGCAGGGTGGTGGCTCAGCAGTCAGTGCTCTGTGCAGTTACCTGGATCCGGAGTGAGGGAATCCTGGCACCTCACTGTCAGCACGTATAAAGCGCTCTGCAGCCCAGAAGGAGCACCGATTCCACACACAGATGGTACGGGCCTCAGAGAGAAGGGAATAGTGAGGAGGAGTGCAGGGGGAGGAGAGGAGGAGTGGGAGGTACATACCTCTTCCTCATAGCAGGTGACTTCTGAAGAGGGCAGAAGGGGCACCACATGTTCTCAGCTGTTAGTTTTAATGAGTTTGGGAGCACAGGATGTACCGCTCCATAGCCCAGATCTGAGCAGAACCCCCTCAGCAGATCACTGGGGAGGGAGGGTGGCCGGACAGTGGACCAAATCCTTTGGAATTTACGAAAGTCCGATGTGTCTGGCCTCTTCCACTTTTTAGCTATATGAACTTGAGCAAATCACAATTTTTCTGGGTCTCTTTCCTCTTGTATAAATGGAGATAATAATACGCAGAAATAGTGGAATTGATGTTTCATAAAGTGTTAAGTGATATTACCATATACAGTGTCTGGCGCATATCAGTCCAAAAAGTCTTATGAAGGAACCAATGACTTTTCCACAGGAATTGTTACTAAAACAACCTTTCACGCAGAAGTTTTAGCAGGAACTAAGGCTCTGTCTGGAAGAGTTTTATGAGGTGGGTTCATGGTGAAAGCTTATGGCGATGTTCCGACAGAGAGAAATCAACAGGGAGCGGATTCTGCTCTCCGACGAGGGTCTTCACTGCCTTTGCCACCACCCCCTTTTAAGGCCCCCTGGTCCCTAGTGACCGATTCCTCTCTGCGGCTCCTAGGACACAAAGCTCCTGGTGTCATTCGGCGCCCGACTTGTTTTCTGCACGGCTGACCTGCCTGTAGGAGTCCAGCCTGAACCCATTAGAAGCCCTAGAGAACCACCGAGAAATCAGAGAAGAGAAAAATCTAAGATAAGGTGGGAAGGGCAGAGGGAAGAATGAAACGGAGCGAGAGCACAGGCAACGCGGTGGAAAGCCTGCGAGTACACTCCGAGGGCCCTTCCCGGGAGCAACTGGATCCAGCCGGTCCCAAACTCCCGGTCTTCCCTAGAAAGTCTACTCCTCGCTTCCCGGTGCGGGTTCCCGAGCCTAAGCCGCGCGGCTCCCAGCGCTCCCAGCTGCCCGGAGCTCGACTCCAGGTGGGGAGGCACCTGCTCCGGAATCGCCCTCCGGCCACAGGGGGCCGGTCCTCTCCGTCCAGCCAAATACCTTCCGGGCCAGCGCACACCCCCAGCCCATCCCTGCCCGAGGGGCGCACGGTGCCACTCACCTCTAGCGAGCTCGCGGGCGACCCCGCCGCGCACCCGGCACACGGGCGCCCTCCGCGCGCGTCCGCCGCTGACCTTGCGTCGTTCTCGTCCGAGTCCACAGCGGCCGCCGGGTCTCCGTTTCCCGGCAGCAGGGGTCGGGGTGGGCGGGGCGGGGAGAGACTTGGGCCTGGAGGTGTGCCCGCAGGCAGGCAGTACAAAGGCGAGGCGAGCCGCACCTCCCTGCGCCCCATTCAACGCTCCGCCGCTCTCCCTCCGCCCCGCCTGCTCCCCGCCCGCTCCTTAAAGGCAGAGCGCCGGGCTCGGCTTTCGGGTGGCTCGCGGAGAGGCACAGGAAATGACCTCAGCAGGCTCCAGCCTCCCACCTCTCCGCACCGCTGGGCTCGTCCCTCGGGTGGCGGGGGCCCCTTGGGCGTTGGGGGTCTCCCGGGCTCCCTCCCCTAGCTCTCTGCGGACGCCGCACCAGCTGCCATAAGGGACGGCGAGCGTGCCCTTGGATCTGCTCCGCTCCCAGCAAGCGTGTGATCCTCGCAGTAGGGCGCAAGACCAGACCCTTACCCCTACCACCAAAGGAGGTTCCAGCATTTGTCTGGCGACCTGTAAAAACTTTAACGCCCAGATATTTGAAGCAGAAGTTCTTATTTCAAACAACCTGTCCCACTGGGGTACAGGTTGATTTGTAATTTGGATGTAAAAAAAGTCACCGCAGCCCTGAGGGTAACTTGCTTGCTTCTGTACATATGTATATGTGTATGTGCCTATGCATGCATTACTTATTTAAAGGAGACAGCCGAGAAGGCAGAAAAGCAAACAGGGCACAGCCGGTTGGGCAGTTTGCAGTGCTGTCTTGAGTGCACCCTTGTTCTTCAACGGCTTTCAGTCCCTCAGCTCACCAGTGTAATCCTACACAGAGAGGGGTTGGATCACTCCACTTTTGGTTAGGTGGGTATGGGGTAAAAGCTTTCTTCCCCAAAGGAATGAACAGGAAAACACCACCAGGGCTGGGTTCTCCGAAGGGGCTTTAGAAGACAGTCCAGTTGCAGTGAAGGATCCCCTGGTTCCAGCCTAGGTTTGAATCTAAGGCCAGGAAACTGCCCAGCGAGCAAGCTCCCCAGGTGATTGTCATGGGCAGTTCTGAGAGGCCAGACACTGTGAAAAGATGGTCCCAGTAGTTCCGGAGGCCAAGGGGGAAAGTTAAACTGGGCCCATTGGACTCCTGGGGCTGAACTGCAAACAGATTCATAGCTCCTGGGAACTGAGATGGGTTAGCCCAGTTTGTGGGACACTGGCCTCTGCTGTCCCCTTCCACACTCTGGAAATTGCCTAAGGAAGCGCAAAAGCAAGTACTCTGGAATTTGTGAAGGAGATTCAGTCATTCATGCATTCTTTCACTTTAAATTAGTAATCATGCACATAGTATACATTTCAAATAATACAGAAGGGCTAACAACGAAAAGTGAGTCATCCACCCTCTCCTTTGCACCCCATATCACTCCTCCCCAAACACAACTACTGTTGTGAGTTTTTGTGTGTACCCTTTCAAGATATTTAATGCATATGTAAGTATTCATACATCCTAAAGGCATATGTGTTCATAGCCCCCTTTCAACATTGAGGCAGTATCCCTTGTTTTTTTTCTCTTCACAGTACCATTTGTGGACTCTTAGTGTGACTTATGAGCACACGTAGAGATTCCTTATTTTTCATGGTTCCCTTCTATTCTTAATGATGGATATTTAGGATGTTTTCAATGTCTGGCTATTACATACCTTGCTACAATGACTGTCTTTGTATATACTTCTTGGTCCTCATGTATGACTTTATGATTTCATACTTAGAAGTGGGATTACTGGCTCTAAACACAATGGGAATGGGAATTTTAAATTCCAACAGATGCTGCCAAATTACCCTCAAAGGAGAGAGTGCCAACCTACACTTCTATCAGTGTGTGTGAGTGCCCTTTCATCCTCTCTCACCCGTGCCAATGAAGTGATATATCACAAAGCACACAGCTTTTAGAAGGGGAGGGTTAAATGAGTTGATGTTCATGGACAATCTTAGAACACCGCTAGCACACAAGGAAGTGTTAGTAATTAGTCTCCCAACTGCATTCCTCTGTGTGATGGCTCCCTGCTTTGGGGTTTGTTTAAATCCCAGCTCTGTAAATTTTGGGCAAGTTCCTTTGCCTTTCTGGGAATCAGTTTCCTTATCTTTAATATGAGAATCATAGTATCTGTCTCTGGAGTTGTTTTGAGGATTAAATCAGATAAGAGAGTTTCATAAATGTTGGGATCCAATTACTCTCAATAAGTGATAGCTATTCTTTTTTCCTCAAGCTTTCCTCCCAACTTTTATTTTGAAAATTTCAAACCTACAGAAGTTAAAAAAAAGTATACTAAATACCCATATACTCTTTACCTAGATTTACTAATTGTTAACATATTGCCACATTTTCTCTCCCCTCCCCATCTCCCATTTGAGAGTTACTTCTACACAACTTTTTTATCCTTTTTTTTTTTTTACACAACTTTTTGAGCTTTTATTCCTGAATACTTTAGCATGTACTTTCCTAAGAACAAGAGTGTTCTCTAAATATCGGTCTTTGGAAATTTAACATGGATCCGATGCTATCATCTACAGTGCAGGACTTAGTCTAATTTCCCCAGTTGTCCCAATAATGTCCTTTATAGCTGAATTTTGTAGCTATTTTGTTTATTATTATTAGTCCCTACCTAGTACTCACAGAATGAAAGGATGATTAGAGGAGAATGGGCTCATCCCCTCCTCCACTCCAGGGAGAGAGTGACTCCCGCAGCCCCAGGCCCCGGCGTTCTTTGGGGGCTGCAGGTAATCAATAACCAGGCACGGCAAGGGATGCTCGTGGGCAGAACAGCCTTTCCCATCTAATACTAGGGACTGTCGTTTGCTGATGCAAATGCCCCATGCTGGCAGCCCATGCAACTCCGCCCCACCTCCCACAAACCCTGGTCGTGTTTCCCTTGTCCTCTCTACCTCCTCCACTGGTCCCCAACCAGCAGAAGCAGCTGTTCTGGCTCCAATGAGACCTGGCTCCTACGTTACCCTGAACCACAGCCCCCGCCCTCATGCCACCCTACCCCAAGGATGGATCCCTATGGACCTCCAGGCTGGCGTGCCCCAACTTAATCCTGAGATTAAGGGTTGGAATGACAGCCACTGTCATTTCCCCATGAACTTTCTGTCTTATGGTGCCTTCGACGTAGCCTTCGCTGGAACTGAGACTGAGTCTTAACTGTGGCCACTGGCCAAATCCAGACAATGACATCAGCTGACACCGATATTCCTCTCTATTGAGCATTAACTGTGGCCACTGGCCAAATCCGGACAATGACATCAGCTGACACCGACATCTCTCTCTCCTTCCCTTCCTCCCTTCCTTTCATTCATTCACTCATTCATTCATTCATGGTAGCTGACTTTTAAGTTGTTCCAGGTATGCTATGAGATGCCCAACTGTAAGCTTGGTGAACCTTCTCCTTGCTTCCTGCTTGAGTTTGTCCTATTGTAAAGTGGAGAAATTATTTCTTCAGCTCAGCTACCCTTCAGTTCAGAGGATTTGAAAGTTGGAGGAAAAGGCAAGATTATGGGGGAGTCACTACGGCAGAGGGGGACTTTGTAAAACTGAAGTAAAGAAAACGCCATTTTAGGCACCGTCCTTGGCTGGTGCTGTAGTGGGTGGGAGCTGAGGGCTGGGAGGCCTGGGAGAAATGCTCCATCCCCTAGACTCCTGTAAGGATCCGTGGAGGAAAGGCACCCACCACACTGACAGCTTGTTGCTGTTTGATGTTAGTTTATTATGACTGGCCTGACAACTGAGAGAGAGGAAGAAAGCCACCATGTGCCCCAAGTCTAAGGGCCATTTGGGTCACTGAAGTGGAGGGCCTCCTGTTCTCTTCCGAAAAGAGGGTGAGGCCTGGACAGGCACTTGGTGTGAACAGGCCTGGACCAATTTGGCAATTTGGCAATTTTCAGATTCTTACATTGGCAGCCACTGGAGATGAGAGGTGAGTGGAGGCCATTTGCTCCCTCTTCCATGACTTCCTACAGGTGAGATATTTAAAATGGCCAAGGCCAAAGTCTGCCATATATACAAACATTTATTAGCAAGCAGGTACAAAGAATCCCACTTGCTTCTAGGGAGTCAGGGAGTTGGCCTATCTGGTTTTTTCACATCATTCGTGCGATGACCCAAATCATCTTCCTGGCTCTCTCCATATTTTAAAACTACTTATTTCACCAGCGAGACATTGTTCCTAGCATCCCTCAAGCACATTTGGCTGCTGGTGTAGATTTGGATGGTGGCTGAAGTGTTTATGTAACCACCTTCTAGAGTGTGGATTCCTGATTAGAGTGCTTCAGATGCTAACTAACCTCTCCAGGGGTGAGAGGAGAGTCCAGGAATACACAAGCCACATGGTTTAGAGCGAAATAATTAAAAAAATAAGTTCCTACAGAGTCAGTATAACAGCATTCTAGTATGTGCCTGTTTGCCTGGCAGCACTATGGGAAAGAACAGTGACCTCAAGACCGACCAGACCACCGTTCAAGTCCCAGCTTTACTGTGTATGTGCTGATGTAAACTTGGGGCACTTGCATAAGCTTTCTGAGTTAATTCTTCACTTGTAAAATGGTGATAATAATTCTTGACTGTTAGGGTTGTTGGAAAGATTCAATGAGATAGTATGATGTCTGGTACAGTAGCAAGTTCTGTATAAAGGGTAGCTTTTGTTATTCACCCTTTGAATAAATATTTGCTGGAGGTTTGATGTCTACCAGGTGTCTACAAATGCCAGAGGTGGTATCTCTAACAAGGAGTTCTCTTTGCTGTAAGATCACCACGGCCAATAAGCAAGACAGCTTGAGAGACAAAAATAACTAGGAGAACTGGTGAAATGTGTAACAATTTATCTTCCCTGTGTCCTGGGCTTTCTAGAGACCCCACTTCCCAACCCCACTTGTTTTCTCTGAGCAGGGCTCTAGGATCCAAAGAGACCCCTCCTGCTTCACTGAAA